AAAAAAAAAAGAAAGTCTTTATTTCTCCTTCACTTTTGAAGGATAATTTCACAGGGTACAGAATTCTAGGTTGGTGGGGTTTTCCTCATGTTTCACTCCACTCTCTTCTTGCTTGCATAGTTTCTGAGGAAAAGTCAAATGAAATTCTTATCTTTGCTCATCTATAGGTAAAGTGTTTGTTTTTTGTTTTTTGTTTTTTTTCTGGCTTCTTTCTATATTTTTTCTTTAATTTTCTGTGGTTTTAAAATGACCTGCCTCGGTATAATTTTTAGGTATTTATCCTGCTTAGTGTTTTCTGAGTTCCCTGGATCTAAGGTTTGGTGGGTGACATTAATTTGGGGAAATTCTGTTATTATTCTTTCAAATATTTCTTCTGTTCTTTTCTCCCTCTCTTACCCTCTGGTATTCCTATTGCACACGTGGTACTCCTTTTGTAGTTGTACCATGGTTCTTGGGTATTATGTTGCTTTTCCAGTCTTTATTCTCTTTACTTTTCAGTTTCAGAGGTTTCTATTGAGGTACCCTCAAGCTCAGAGGTACTTTCCTCAGCTGTGTCCAATCTACTAATAAGCCTATCAAAGGCATTCTTCATCTCTATTATAGTGTGCTGGTTTTGATAATGCATTTCTTTTTGCTTCTTTCTTTGGTTTTCCATATCTCTGCTTACATTGCCCAGCTGTTTCTGCATGCTGTCTATTTTATCCATTAGAGCCTTTCACGTATTCATCATCACTGTTCTAAATCCCTGTCCAATAATTTCAGCATCCCTCCCATGTCTGGTTCTACTGCTTGCTCTGTCTTTTCAAATGGTGGGGAGGGGTTGCCTTTTATTATACCTCATAATATTTTCTTGATGGCTGACCATGATGTAGGTTTAGAAAATAAAAAGAACTGGGCCAAAAGTAAGTTGGCTATAAGTAATGTAGAGTAAGGTGCAGCAGGAGGGAAAGTGTTCTATTGTCCTAGGATTAGGACTCAGTCTTTTAATGAGCCTATGCCAACTGTAAGCTTCATAAGTGTGTCTCACTTTTTTTCTCCCCCTGTTAGGTGGTACAGGGTGACTACAGTGGCCTAGAGTTGGGTAATTCCCTTCTCCCAGTGAAAGGCTAGAGCCAGCTGGAGCTGATGTTTCCCTTCCCCCAGGTCTGTTAGGCCCCGACAAAACTCTAGCAGGTTAGGCTCTGATTAATTATCCTGGCTTCTTATTAGGAAAAGTAGGGTGCTCCAGCCTATTTCTTAATGGTTTCTTTTCCCCTCCCCTGCCAGAAGCATGAAGAGATTTCTTTTTTTTTTTTTTTCCAAATGTGATTTTTTTTTTTCATTTCCAACTTTTATTTTAAGGTCCAGGGTACATGTGCAGGATGTGCAGGTGTGTTCCGTAGGTAAACATGTGCCATGGTGGTTTGCTGCACAGGCATTCACCCAGCATTCAGCCAGGCATTCAGCCCAGCATCCATTAGCTATTTTTCCTGACCCTCTCCCTCCTCCCACTCCCCACCCTCTGACAGGCTTTGGTGTGTGTTGTTCCCCACCATGTGTCCATGTGTTCTCATCATTTAGCTCCTACTTATAAGTGACAGCATACAGTATTTGGTGTTCTGTTCCTGCATTAGTTTGCTAAGGATAATGGCCTCCAGCTCCATCCATGTTCCTGCAAAGGATATAATCTTATTCCTCTTTATGGCTGCATAGTATTCCAAGGTGCATATGTACCACATTTTCTTTATCCAGTCTCTCATTGATGGGTTTTTAAGTTGGTTACATGTCTTTGCTATTTATAATAATGCTGCAATGAACATACACATGTATGTGTCTTTATAACAGAATGACTTATATTTTTTTAAGTATATACCCAGTAATGGGATTGCTGGGTCAAATGGTAGTTCTGTTTTTAGCTCTTTGGGGAATCACTAAACTGCTTTCCACAGTGATTGAACTAATTTACACTCCCACCAACAGTGTAAAAGCATT